AAGCTGGCGGAATCACAATTCCAGACTTCCAGCTATATTACAAAGCTGTCATCATCAAGGCAGTATGGTACTGGCACAAAAACAGACACACAGATCAATGGAACAGAATCGAGAGCCCAGAAATGGACCCTCAACTCTATGGTCAACTCATCTTTGACAAAGCAGGAAAGAATGTCCAATGGAATAAAGACAGTCTCTTCAACAAATGTGTTGGGAAAATTGGACAGCCACATGCAGAAGAATGAAACTGGACCATTTCTTTACACCACACACAAAAACAGACTCCAAATGGTTGAAAGACCTAAACGTGAGACAGGAGTCCATCCAAATCCTGAAGGAGAACACAGGTGGCAACCTCTTCGACCTCAGCTGTAGGAACTTCTTCCTAGAAACATCGCCAAAGGCAAGGGAAGTAAGGGCAAAAATGAAGTATTGGGATTTCATCAAGATAAAAAGCTTTTGCACAGCCAAAGAAGCAGTCCACAAAACCAAAAGACAGCCGACAGAATGGGAGAAAATATTTGCAAATGACATATCAGATAAAGGGCTAGTATCCAAAATCTATAAAGAACTTATCAAACTCAACACCCAAAGAACAAATAATCCAATCAAGAAATGGGCAGAAGACATGAACAGACATTTTTCCAAAGAAGACACCCAAATGGCCAACAGGCACATGAAAAAGTGCTCCACATCGCTCGGCATCAGGGAAATCCAAATCAAAACCTCAATGAGATACCACCTCACACCCGTCCGAATGGCTAAAATTAACAAGTCAGGGAACGACAGATGTTGGCGGGGATGTGGAGAAAGGGGAACCCTCCTACACTGTTGGTGGGAATGCAAGCTGGTGCAACCACTCTGGAAAACAGTATGGAGGTTCCTCAAACAGTTGAAATTAGAGCTACCATTCGATCCAGCAATTGCACTTCTGGGTATTTACCCCAAAGATACAAATGTAGGGACCCGAAGGGGTATGTGCACCCCAATGTTTATAGCAGCAATGTCCACAATAGCCAAACTGTGGAAAGAGCCAAGATGTCCATCGACAGATGAATGGATAAAGAAGAAGTGGTATATATACACAATGGAATATTATGCAGCCATCAAAAGGAATGAGATCTTGCCATTTTCAACGACGTGGATGGAACTGGAGGGTGTTATGCTGAGTGAAATAAGTCAATCAGAGAAAGACATGTATCATATGACCTCACTGATATGAGGAATTCTTAATCTCAGGAACAAACTGAGGGTTGCTGGAGTGGTCGGGGAGGGAGGGATGGGGTGGCTGGGTGATGGACATTGGGGAAGATATGTGCTACGGTGAGCACTGTGAATTGTGTAAGACTGTTGAATCACAGATCCGTACTTCTGAAACAAATAACGCAACATATTTTAAGAAAAAAGAAAAAGAAGAAGATAGCAGGAGATGAAGAATGAAGGGGAGTAAGTCAGAGGGGGAGAGGAACCAGGAGAGATGATGGACTCTGAAAAACAAACTGAGGTTTCTGGAGGGGAGGAGGGTGGGGGGATGGGTTAGCCTGGTGATGGGTATTAAAGAGGGCACATTCTGCATGGAGCACTGGGTGTTATGAACAAACAATGAATCATGGAACAGTACACCAAAACAAATTATGTAATATATGGTGATTAACATAACAATAAAAAATTAAAAAAAAAAGTGGTATTACTTTATGATTAGATTGAGTTGATTTTAAGGCAGGAAACATTCTAGAGATGAAGAGATTCAATGTCCTGTCAGGATATAACAATTCTAAAATCATATACACCTATAATACAGCCTATGATATGGAAAGCAAAAATCAGCAGAACTAAGGGAAATTTTTTTAAGGTTTTTTTTTTTTAATTTATTCATTTGAGACACAGAGATACAGAGAGAGAGAGAGAGCATGAACATGGGGAGAGGCAGAAGGAGAGGGAGAAGCAGGCTTCCCGCTGAGTGAGGAGCCCGATGCGGAGCTCGATCCCAGGATCCTGGGATCATGATCTGAGCCGAAGGCAGAGGCTTAACCATCTGAGCCACCCAGGCGCCCCAGAACTGAGGGAAATTTTAAAATGAAATGCCTCTTGCTCAATAACTGATAATAAAAGAAGACAAGAAATGAGTAAGGAAATAGAAAATTTGAAAAAAAAAAAAGAAACAAAGTTTGAAAGTTTGAACCACATGATTAACAACCTTGACCTAACTGATGTACAGGGAACACTGCACTCACTTCAGTGCAGAACAGACATTTCAAAAGATGGAAAATATTTCATAAAATTGACTATATGCTGGATATATGGTCAAAGGATTAATGCCATGGAGAAAGTGTTTCTAACTTCAGTGAAGTACACTAGAAATCAGCAACCAGAAGGGAACTATATGACTAGAAAATGTCTAAAACAGTTCAAAATAAGGGTCAAAGAAGTAATGACAATGGAAATATTACGTGCTGAATGATAATTAAAATATGATCTATAGAAATTTGTGGGTGTGATAACTTTGTAAAAATTGTGTAGTACCTTCTTTGAGATAAAAAGTAATATTGCTAAAATATATTAAAAACCTAAAAAAAATTCTGTTATTTTTTAAACAAATTTTAGTATCTTGATGAAAGGGAAAATTTTCTAGAAAGATATCCATTAACAGAATTATTCAAGAAAAGGACAAAAACTTGAATTAAATAACCTTAGAAGACATTAAAAAAATGGGAAATATGTCCTCTTCCAAAAAGACCTAGGCCAAGACCATTTGGCATATGAAACATTTTCAAACCTTGAAGGAACAGATAAAGTTTCTATTATGTAAGCTGTTGCAGAAAAATAGAAATGGCATAAATTTTATAATGTTTAAATAATTTTTAAATAAGTAGATATAAAATATTATAAATTTTATTTATTAAATAAGATAATGCTAGCTTCTTTTAAAAAATTAAAAATGTAAAATGGCTCAAATATCATGAAAATTTATTTTTTGGTTACTTTTGCAGCTCCTGTTCCAACAGTAATTCAGAAAAAAGTAAAATTTTGTGGGAAAGACAAAAATGTAATTAACTTAAAATGCCTATCCAGAAAACCCAAGACAACTGAAAAACAGAATAAGGGAGTTCAATAAAGTGGCATTGCACAGAATAACCATTCAAAAATTTGTATCTTGGGGCACCTGGATGACTCAGTTGGTGAGGCATGCAACTCTTGGTCTTGAGGTTCTAAGTTCCAGCCCCACACTGTGTGTAGGGATTACTTAAAAACAAAATCTTCAAAGAAAATTAATATCTTTACTAATAATCAATTAGAAAATATAATGGTTAAAAAAAATCCCATTTCCTATAGCAACAAAACTATAGCATACCTATTCAGACTAACAAATATTTAAGACATGTATGAAGCAAGATACAATTTTCTTGTTCCAAAATACCAACAAACACCTAAATGAATGGAGAAATAAATCATATTCATCTCTCCCAATCTACTCTCTTAATTCAATGCACTTCCAATTAAAAAAAATCCCAATTAAATTTTTATTACCATGGCAAAAATGATTCTAAAGATCACTGAGAAGATCAAAACCAAGAAGTTAAAAAGAAAAAAATTGGGGCGCCTGGGTGGCTCAGTCGGTTAAACATCTGCCTTCAGCTCAGGTCATGATTCCAGGGTCCTGAGATCGGGTCCTGCATTGGCCTCTCTGCTCAGTGAGGAACCTGCTTCTCCCTCTCCCTAGGCCTGCTGCTCCCCCTCTGCTTGTGCTCTGTCTGTCAAATAAATAAATAAAATCTTAAAAAAAAAAAGAAAGAAAAAAAAAGAAAAAAATTAAGGACTTAGCCTACCATGAATGACTGAACCTAGAAATATATGCCTAGAATAATTAAAATAGTAAGGTACTGGCAGAGAGAAAGTGATCAATGGAACAGAGTGGTGGGTCTAGAAACAGATCTGTGTAACTAGATAGAGATTTAGTATAGGATAAAGTTTGTATTTCAAATTAGTGGCAAAAGTGAAGAAGGATAGTTACTAAGTAAATGATGGTGGGACAAGGACAAGTGGTTATCCGTTTGGGGCCCTAACTCATGCATAGACAAGAACAGATTTTGAGTCAACTAAATACATTAATTGGGAAGACCTTCCTGAATGATACAATTAACACAGAAACTCTATAAAGAAAAGGACTGAAAAATTTGATATATAAATATAAATGTCATAAATATCAAAGTTCTTTTTTTTAAAGACTTATTTATTTATTTTCAGAGAGAGTGGGCGGGGGGAGGGGCAAGGCAGAGGGAGAGAGAGAATCCTCAGACTCCCCGTTGAGCATGGGGCCCAGCGTGGGGCTTGGGCCCAGGATCCTAAGATCATGACCTGAGCCAAAACCAAGAGTCGGCAGCTTAACCGACTGAGCCACCCAGGCGCCCCTAAATGTCAAAGTTCTGTAGAACAAATAACTTTGAAGTTAATAGGCTTCACAACTACATTTTACATAAAGCACAAAAAAGACAAAGGAATACCTAAGATCATGACGTGAGCCAAAACTAAGAGTCGGCAGCTTAGCCGACTGAGGCCATGCAGGTGCCCCATCCTTCATGTTGATCTGGATGCTGACACATGAGGATGGTTCAGACTGTAAAATTTCAGAGGGTATATACACTTATGAGTACTTTTCTGTGATAAATTTAGGAAGAGCATGAGGAAATACTGAGAGAGGAGGAACAGAAGAGATCAAGATGAAATTTTACTTTGTATTTTAAATTAATCTGTGTTTTCTATATTCTCAATATAGAAATATAGAATATATTTACTCAATATTTTATTTATTTATTCTATATTTATTCAATAAATATAGAAAACACAGATTAATTTAAAATCAAAAGTAAAATTGAGAAGCATATAGTATTTGCATAATTTTTTTAAAAGTGAAAAATGAAATAAAGGCTACATATACGACATATAACAGTCAAGACTTATGATCCAAGCACAGTCAAGACATTTCTGAAGGCACACCCTACCTGTGAATCTAATATGCTGGAAATATCACGTGCACTGACATTCACTTCATCCAGCTGCAAGCAAAACAAGTTTCTGGCAACCTGGACAAAATCTGAAATGGAATACACTTCAGTAAGAACACAGCATTTAACCTCATCTAAATACATCTTACCTTTTTCTATGCTTCAACTTCTATGAAGTTGAAGCTATGCATTATAACACTTCAAACTTAACTTACTTTTCAGTGGATTACCTTAAAGTAGTATTAACTGATGTGACAGATAAATACAACCTCAAATAAAAAGTGAGCGATAAACCAGTTTTAACTTACCTCAGTTCACTTTGCTGAGGTTAATAAATCAGTCAAGATAACAACAAAGCACATACATATCACAGGCATATCTATTTCTGCAACTCTTTTATCATGAGCAAGAACTTTCTCTGAAGCATAGGACAATGTTGTGACTTACAGCTTTTCTAGCTCGAGCCGGAGGTTTAATAATAATAATAGCAGGAGCTAATGTTTATATAACAGCCTCTGTGTTAGGCACAATGCTTTGCTATTCTATCCTCCCAATAATTTTCTGAGGCAGGTCCTCCTATACTCTCCATTCTACATACCGCAGCTAAGACAAGTGAGCTGCCAAACTTCCCATGGCTACATGGCAAGTAAGTAGCAGAGCAGAATTCCATTTAAGGTCTGACTCCAAGGCATATACTCTTAGCAACTGTTAATTAAGACTGCCTAATGCTGGAGTGCCTGGGTGGCTCAGTCAGTTAAGTAGACACCCTAGGCTCAGGTCATGATCCCAGGGTCCTGGGATTGAGTCCTGCATAGGGCTCCCTGCTCAGCAGGGAGCCTGCTTTTCCCTTTCCCTCTACTGCTTTCCCTGCTTGTGCTCGCTCTCTGTCAAATAAATAAATAAAATCTTAACAACAACAAAAAAGACTGCCTGATGCTGGCTAGCAAACTCTAAGCTTCTTCAAACATGAGTGTGACCCAATTCATCTATGTATCTTCAAATTTTTAAATTTTAGCTATTATATTTTTATTTCCAAAGATCCTTTTCTGTATTCTCTGATGGTTCCTATTCTACAATATCCTATTCTTTATTTCTTGGATGCCTTATCTTTGCTGACCTTTTCAAAGATGTTCATTTGTTGAGAGAACTTCAGATTTGTCTGAAGTTCTCTCCTGCTTTTGCATTATTCCTCCTTTTTCAGGGTCCTTGTTTTTTTCTTTGTCAGTTTTGGGCTCTTATATTTTATGTTGGAGAATTTCTCCAAATGTCTGGTGACCCATGGCTATTAAGTTCATATTTAAGAAGAATCACCACCAAGATACTGATTGGAAATTTTGTGTACATAAATTGCCTTGTCATCTGGTTTCACTACAGAGCAATCAGGGGTCCAACTGACATTTTGGGGCAGCTTCTTCAGTGAGAATCTTACAACCTCTTGCCTATAGAGTATGAACATGACTGCAAGGTTCACCGAGCAATCTGGGTGTGCGTTGTGATAACTAACCACGCACTCCTCCAAATTCCCTGACTGCTGGCAACTATAGGTTCAGAAGCTCTCCGGTTTAATTTCTCAAGAGAATACACTTCTTTCTTTGTAGGTATAAGGGACTGTTATATTCTGGCTGCTTGAGAGGGGGCAGGTAACAGCCTAGATAAAAACTTCTTATACAGATTTCTAACAACCCTATTTGAAATGCCCCGCCTACACCCAGCCTTCAGAAATACCTGATACTTTTAATTCTTAAGCCTTTTCAGCTTGTTTCCCATTGTGTTTCCCCCATCACTTTAGACACTTGGGCTTTTTTGCCTCCACTCACTAATTCATTTACTCTCCTCATCCATATTCTATCCTTATATATCATGGTTTGGGTTAATACACGCAATTCTGTTTTTTTGTTCTCCTTACTATTTGGGGTGATTTTCAAAAGCAGAGGAAAGCAAATGTATATTTTCTCCATCACTGTGAAACTAAAAAGTGAATTTCTTTAGCAATACAAATCCTTTAAAAATGATACAATGTTAAAAAAAATAAAAATGATACAATGTTGCATTTATTGTATAAGAAAAAAATTAAATACTGAACGCTATCAACTATATAAAAAACTGTTATATTCAAACATCACTAGTGGCAGAATAAATGCATATGTAAAATGTCTCTTGAAAACAACTTATCAATACCTATCAAAAGTTTAAACCACTTGTGGGAATTTATCCTAAGAAAAAGAAGGAAAAAAAACTACGATGTTAAACACAGACTTATTTATAGTATCAGTCATGAGAAACCATCAAAATTCCCCAAAGTAGAAAGGCTTAATATTATAGTACATCAACTAAGTATGTCAATACTATGCTAACTTTAATAAGAATTATACAGCATCATAAAAATATTTATTCTGTCATATTAGCCGGAAAAAAGTATGAAATTTCACAGCACTGGAATTAGAACTTTTATATTTTATATTGTTTCTTTTGTTATTACTAAAGAAATACTTATGCAATAAATAAAAAACAAAAAAGTAGGATAGAATGATGATATTTTAGAGCTGGAAGATGCCAGGGAAGTCTCCTTTCTGCTGACCAGCCAGGCTGGTAATTCTAGAAGACATTTTAGGGTACTGATTAAGAAACTTGAAATAGATGTGGTCTTATTTTTCCCCTCCCTCCTTCCAAAGAAGACGCACTCCTAGTGAAAATAGGTCACCATAACTCTCCCACCAAGTTTCTGTGATGACACAACACGATAAAACTTAATATTACCTCCAAAAGACACTGTCCCCTTTGGGTCTACTTGCACTTGCTGCCTCAGGGCTTGATGTTGTTCCTTTGTGGGCTGAATTCCAAGATAATCTAAAGCCTGGAAGGAAAAGAACTCATGTGAAGTAATGTTTCAAATCTCCAAAGAATAAAACTTTTCATTATAACTTTAATTTACAACCCAGTGAAAAGAATCAATATCAGGAACAGGGACCAGAATTACATGCCCAGAGAAAGTCTGTTGACTATTTATGGATTAATTTTCTATAAAATATTAGCTTCCTGATTCTACTACCACCTCAGATTTTTTGTGGTTTCTTTTTTTTTTCTTTTTTGCAAGACCAGCACTTTGGCTGAGGCCAAATTTATAAGCATAGCCCTAGAATCAAAACTTAATTTCTTAGTTTAAAATATGTGATATGGCAGAAGAAAGAATAGCAAGGAAATTCTATTAGATCAGATTAAACATTAATTTCTATAAGTAGCACTACAAAGCACAGATATTTTGTTAATATATGTGAGACCAAAACTAAACTTGATAGGAATTGGGTTAAACACGAAATATTCTAATTTTAGCTTATTTATGGCAGGCTTACACAAATAGTAAAATAGAAAGCTTTCTCTGGAACCCGCCTCTCTTCCTCTTTTGTTTTTCTTTTCTCTACCTTCTTTTAGTACCCGTAGCAGATTAAAAATTCAGAGATGGCTTGTTGTATTCCTATGTTCATTTTCTTTCTGTTCTTGAATAACAGAACCACAAATTTTAGCTAGAAACACTGCCATCCAGCTAAAAGGTATTTCCCAGCCCACTTTGGGGCTTGAAGCCATGGGACTGACTATGTACTGGCCAAGGATATTGAAGGTGAATATCTGGGACGGCTTTCAAAAGTAAGTGTAGGCTATTCTTGTTTTTTTCTTTCTCTCTTTGGGCTTAATTTAAAAAGAAAAAAGATGGAAGGAAGGAGGGGTGGGAAGAAGGAAGGACGAAAGGAGAGAATACCAGAATTCAAGTAGTCATCTTGGTTCATAAGCTACTTCAATAAAGATGATGGAGCAGAAAGATAGAGCATGTGTCCCTGACACAGTAGAGCTCCCATGCCAGCCCTGGATTACATATTTTAAGGCTTCTTTTTGGTGTGAAAGAAATAAATTTCTAATGGAAACCACTGTTATTTTAGGTTCTCCAGTTATATATAGCAAAACCTAATCTGAATAGCAAAACCTGACTGGATGGCCTATTACTGGATTCTGGCAAGAATGTATTTTGTGTCAATACCATCAAAACTAAAAAGTAGGTAAAGTTCAATATTGGTAATTGTTCCTTATAAATTTCTCCCTCCTTTGCAATCTGCTCATTTATCATTTCATTCACCAAATATTCATTTAGTGCTTACTATTTCAAGCACTACACTATGCAAAGGGAACACAAAGAAGATACAGCTACCCACAAACAGTTATGGTCCCTAGGGTGAGAACAGCATGTAAATAAGTGTAACTAGTGCAATATGTAATTTAATACAAGTGTGTATAGGATATACCGAGGCAAAAACATACCAGTTAATGTATAGGTGGCCAGGCACAGTGAGAAGAGGAGACAGGAGAATGGAGATTAGGAAAGATTCATAGATTCATTAAAGAGTGATTCTAGAGCCTAGCTAAGCATCATCTGCCTGCTCTGTCTACACCGTCATAAGTATTTGCCTGTATAATGTGGAATAATTGCTCTTAACTTTTGGTGTTCTTTCCCTTTGGTTATAAAAATGTTCCAAACACACACACACACACACACACACACACACACACACACACACACACACAGAATAATACAAAGAACATCCATGTACTCAAATATTCATTGGTATTTGCTTGAAATTATATATATTTTTAAGAAATAAACATTACAGACTTGGTTGAAAGTTTTCTCTATTGTTCCTCGGCAGGAACCACTATCCTAAGGTTGGTGTATGCTTCCTGTCCATGATCTGATACCATTACTACGTGTATTCCCTAATGTTATGTACTCCTGTGCACTTAAAATTTTACATCAATAGTATACTACAAACATTATTATATATAAATTTACAAATTATTTATTCACAAATTATTTTTATTTTTACCTCAGTGTTATGATTTCATAATTGCTCAATATTCTTGTCTGTGAAACTAGTTGACTTAACTTTAAATGGTATCCCACTGTATGAATGCAAATTCTACATCCTCTGATGGGCTTTTATCGTTACTCCAACTTATTTTTTTATTACAAATAATTACACATATTTCCTTGTATGGAGGTGTGAAAATTTCTCTACAGTATATTCCTAGAAGAAATGCTGAATCATATGTATTGTATGTATATATTGTCACTTTAGATATTGTAAAATTACTCTCCAAACTGGTTGTAGCAACTTACACACACCAGTAGCATATAAGATCTATTTTTGTCCATTCTTAAGAGCATTTGTTGTTTTCACACTTTAAATTTTGTCAATATGTTGAATATGAACTGGACGTTGTTTGTTAAATTCCCTTAGTTACAAGTGAGATTAAAGTTCTTTTACATGTTTATTAGTGATGTTTTTGACTCACAAATCACTTAGCAATATGTTTTAAATTTTCACAGACAGTTTTGAGAAGTATTTTTTTGCTAGTGATTACTAATTTGGTGGCATCCTCCCAAATATGAAAACAAAAAAATGTCTCTAGACATTGCCAAATGTCCCCTGAGGCCAAAAAAAAAAAAAAAAAGCACCCCCATCCTTGAGAACTACTGCTCCAGAGACAAGCACTATTAATAGTTTGGTGTATAATTTTCTAAATTTTTTCTATGAATATAGCACCTAAATAGTAAATATACATAGATTATGTATTTATTTACAATAATTATACTATATGGTATTATATGTTTTTAAAATATTATCAATATATCATAGCTTTCTATTCTGTACATTTTTGCATCTTTTGCATGCTTTTCAAAACTGATGTAATAGTGCCTTAGCATTCAAGTATATATACTTCAAATTTTGAACATAACAAAACATTATAAAAGTCCCTTTTGAGCTTTTCCCAAGAGGTGATACCTGTCATACATTTGGTTTAATATTCCTGAGTATTTTATTATATAATATTTGACATATGCTAAAAACAAATATGTAACAGATATACATGTTTTAAAGCAGGACAATAAAATAAAAATTCCATGAATCCATTTAAGAATTACAATAGTGCTGAATTCATGTCACATACTCCTGTCCTACTCAAGAGGTAACCTAACCACTACTACTGAAATGTGGGATTATTATTCCCATAAAACTAATTTTAAGATGGTTGGTCACATACATAGGTATCCCTAATGTGTTATTTTGTTTTGCTATGTTTTAGCTTCATAAAAATGCTGCAGATAGTCAGAATTCTGAAACTTGCTTTTTTTCACCCTACAGTATGGTCTCATCATTCATCTGTATTGTTATATGCTATTGTAACATCAGCACATTCACTTCCACTGATAAATACCTGATTAGATGAATATGTCACAATTTATTCATCTATCCTCCAGCACACTGGGGTTTTCTGCTTACTGGCAATGCAACAATGAACATTCTTGTACACATCTACTCTAGCACATGGTTACAATTTTTTTTAAAGATTTTATTTATTTATTTGAGAGAGAGAGAATGAGAGACAGAGAGCACGAGAGGGAAGAGGGTCAGAGGGAGAAGCAAACTCCCTGCTGAGCAGGGAGCCTGATGTCGGACTCGATCCCGGGACTCCACGATCATGACCTGAGCCGAAGGCAGTCGCTTAACCAACTGAGCCACTCAGGCGCCCTCGGTACAATTTTCTTTAGGGTGCATACTCAGGAGAAGTACTGGTGGGTCTTTTCTGATTGACTGTAGGACTTTTAAAAATATTTTGGATAGTAATATTTTATATGTTATGTGTATTACAAATATTTTCTCCCAGTTTTTAGCATAACTTTTTACTTTTTCATATTCTTTTTATGGAGTTCTTTAAGGACAGTTCCCAGGCATGTTTGCATACCATTATTTCATGTTTTTATAAATATATATGATGGGGCATCTGCGTGGCTCAGTCGGTTAAGCATCCAACACTTGATTTCGGCTCAGGTCATGATCTCAGGGTTGTGAGATCAAGTTCCGTGCTTGGCGTGGAGCCTGCTTAAGATTCTCTCTCTCTCTTTCTCTCTGCCCCTCCTGCTCCTCTTTCTCAAAAAAAAAAAAAAAGCATATAAATGATAAACTTGAAATTTAGAACAGATTGTCTTTTGGGGAGAGGGAGAGGTGTATATGATCAAGAAGAAACACATAGGCAATGTCAAAAATTCTGATTCTTAGCTGGGTGGTGGTACAGGTATGTTTATTATTCTTTAAACTGTACATGTACAATATAATCATTCTGTGTATGACTGATGTTTTCATAGAAATAAAAACAATTTCACAAAAGTAATGCAAACAAAACACCTGTCACAGAAGGTATGTAATATGTGACTATTATTATACTAAGTAATAATAAAATTATAAAATGCAATCAGCTACAATGGAACTTGATCTGGAGTCACACTTAAGAAATTTACTCTAGATGAATACAGCATGTCAGTGAGGTAAACTCATAAATTTAAATGGGAAATAATTTATTTTTGGTCAAAAAACAAGTTCCAAAAATTTCTTGAATAATTAACATCATCTTTTAACCTTAATCAAAATGCAAATTTTTTAATTGGACAAATAAATGTCCTTAACTCTTTCTAATGTCTGAATGATGAATTTTAAAAATGTCACTTCTTTACAATATTTGTCACATACTTCCTAACCTAATACAAAGAACATCTCATTAACTGTAATCAGACACAGGGCATGTCATTGCTCACTACACCTTTCTTCAAATGTTACAGAAATGGCAAGAGGTAAAGTAAATATCAGCGAAATGGCATCTGTATCCCAAAGCATCTTTCTCAGGTACAAAAATACAGATAGAAGAGAAGTACAATAATTCTTGGTCTTTAAGCCAACTAATAAACTGTATACCTATTTGCTGTGTTTACAAAGCCTACTTACAAGTTTAACATTAGGATTAAATGAGTACTCGTAAAAATGCTTTAAAAAATACAGCACTGTAAATAACTATGGTAAAATTATTTTAAAATATCTGTATATTAAATCATCTTCAGAGTATTCATAGAAAGAGGCAATCCATTTTTCAACAAGGAATTGCCAAATAAGTAGTTGAATATTCCAGTATATCCTGATACAAAATTGTCTACTTAGCCTAGTAAAACATAGAGGATTTCATGAAGACAATGCCACACACACACACACACACACACACACACACACACGTCTTGACAGGTAATTTCCTTCAGTAAATTCTAACTTCTCTGTCTTTCTTAAAAACTGTACTGAGTAGGCTAATTACTTAATAACCTCATGATTAGTGAACACCTTTTCCTTGTGAAATCTTATTATAACACAAATTTCCTAGATGCTATATGCAATATATTTATAGAATATAAAGGAAAAAGATAATTTTATTTCATTTTAAATATTTGATCACATTGGCCTTATGTGTTACTGAATAGTAAATATGTTAAAAATATAATGGATAATAAAATTGAATCTTTCTACAAAGTAGCAACTGAAATAGGACCTGTTTCAAATAGAATAATACAAATATAATTACATTATTATATAACCAAACAAAAAAGGGAGAGAAGCTTAGCAAATATTTGGGAAGATAGGAGCTAATTTGGATTTTGGAAAAAAAAATTCTTATTAAATAAGATGCTGTTTCATACTCTAAAAACAAAGAATGCTCTACTAAATAAAGTCACTAAATATACTTTGAATAAAAGTGAGAGATGAGTTAACACAGAATGTGGGTTGCCTTTGCTGTAAAACTGCCATTTTATTTTTCCAGAAAAATAATTTGTTTAGGCTAAAAGGAGGACCAAACCCTGGAAATTCTGATTCAATAGTCAAACAACCCAAATTTCTTAGAATCAATACAAATTTAGATGATTTTCATATCTAAGACAATTAATTAGATTTTTAAAAAAATCATGTGCTAGGAAAACTTAAATCGAATAAAGAAACAAAGGCTGCCAAATAAAGTCATCAGCTGGATAACTTTCTCCTTACGCAGAGAAATAGTATTAAATCTTGGATGTTTAGAAACGTGTATTAAAAGCAATGTCATTAAAATACAATAACTTATTTATTTTTTAGATATTTATAGATGTTTTTATATCTTAAATATTCTTTTTTTTAAAAAAATACTAATATTAACTGATTGTAAACCTTGGCATCAGCCAGAACTTACATTTTAGCCACCAATAAAAAGAGAGTACAAGTTAGCAAAAGAGACTCAGGATTTTGAAAATCTAAAGGCAGTATCTAAGTACCTAATTCATAAGAAAGCTTAATGAGGTGTTTAAATAGTGGTAGGTGTACTAGATATTGTCGTGAAGAAACTTTATCTTGTTGTCAAAACAAAATACACAAAAAACTGTACAGCACCACAAAATGATATTAAGTGCTACAGATGTGAAAATAAGGCAATACTGGCTCAAACTATAATAGTTAGCAAAATCTGGACACAGGGATTGGAATTGAGTTAGGATGTGAACACTGGGTAAGATTCAAATTGACTCTGGAAAAAGTATTTGGTATAGGACCATGCATGCAAATGTATGAATATGGGAATAAATGCAATGTGTATGTACTGTGCATTTTCAACTCTCCCTAAAATGTAAAAAAATCATTATCCACGAAAACTGATAGGAAAGTAGAGGCTGTGGAGTACAGTAACTATATCCATTTTTATATTTAAAAGAAGACAGCACATTTTTGCTGTGAGTTCCCAGGTCACCTGATAGGAAAAGCTCTAAAACGCTTTTCTAATTTTAATTCTTCCTTTTTAATAACCTTATGTTTCTTCTACATACAGAAGCTCTCAATACTTCACTCTCCCCAGAACTAATTTTTGGTGCCTCTTAGTACATTGCTACCATCTTCTTTATATTTAGTGAGGACCTGACTATTTTGTTCTTTAGGATTTAGTTTCCTTGTGCTTTTTAAAAAGTTGAATAATCTGAGTATTACCTCCTTCCACTTACTGCTATTCCACATACTTGGTCATAATTCATTCCCTGTTTCCTTTGATTTACATTGTGAAACATCACATTTGTTTTTATTTTTACACAGGAGGAAACTGATTAATTTGGTGTCAATTTAGGTTCCAGACGGTTTTTCTATTTTCTTCTAGTGAGTTGGCTGCTCAACTCAAACATAAATAATTAAAACTCAAACTGCCATTCAATTGCAAATAAGTAATTCTCCAAGAAAGTAATAGCTCCAGTTCTTCCTTTATCCTCTCAAAGAATGAGAATACTTCCTTACTGTTGTTTTATAGAAGAAAAATGGAAATTTAAAGTATTTACCATTTCCAGTTTCTCTGCCTTAAGGCGAACAGAGGGATTTAGGGAAATCTTCTTTCCTTGTGGTCCATAATTATCAGTCCATGCAGGGGCAATATCTAAGAGACAACAGGGTGCACGTTAATTGGAAATTTAATTGGAATAGAACTTTTCATTTGACAGGATATGTTCTGGGCTCCTGCTGTTCAAATATAATTCTGGCTAATCAGTTGGCAGTTTTCACTTTTGTTTTCATGATTTTTTTTCTTTAAATCTAAAATGTATTATATAAATCAGCTTCACTTGAGCACTAAAAGATATAAAAAGAATGGCCAATTATGTATTAAATCCCATGGAAATATTAATTTAAAAGACAAACATACATCCTACCACTACCCCATCATCACAATGCCTTACTAATTGTAAAGTGAAGTCTTTTTTCTTCCAAAGTAAGTAAAATCATGTTAGGAATGCAAAAAGATTGTGATATGTCTTTGGCAAAAGTGGTTTTGTTACATGAGTTCTGTAGGTACTATGGAAAAACTCATAAACGCAAACTGTTTCAAGTTTGCACATAAAGTATGATACAGACTAGGAACTTCTGGAATCCAAAATCCCATTTCTTACTTTACATTAAGGTTATATTTCAAGGAGCATAGAGGGACTTCCAAGAGTTGAGTTTCATACACCCCTCACCCACCCCAACACCTTCTTAATCTACACTGATTATTCAGATGAGCCTTTGTCCTTGCTGCATGAATAAGAGACCAAATGCCACAAGGGATTAGACCTTGAAAAATTATTTGTTTTAATATGCCAAAGTTTGTAAAACAAATTCCTGTAATTCATGTCAATCCTTCTATATAAATTGTCACTATTCTAAATACACTTCTAAATGGTATTTTACTAGTTCTACATAGAAACAAGAGGAAGAGAAAAAACTTTTTGAAATGTCACATCTTTATGCAGTGTTTTAATTTTTTTTTAATTTCTCAGAGCATCTGTCTCTAAGTACAAAATGATTTGCATTCTCTTTCTTAAGAACATAAGAAGCGCATATGAAAATAAATAGTCTTCCTCTAAACCTTTAACACATCCTTAACATTCTATGTAAAATCTTGAATATAGCTTATAGGTGTCAAGATCATAAAAAAAAATGGTTACTGACTTTTAGCTTCAAATGGAATCAAACCTTGAAAAAGAGTGATTTTAGTATAATAGAATTTTTACAATTCTGATAAAAGCATCAAAGTCTCTTTTGTCATCATGATACCTAATTGTTAGCCATGAGACAAAAAATAGTGTGTATATATATATTTTTTTTTTCTTTTTTTCTCTTAAGAGAAATTCTGTGCCAAACCTACAGTGTGGCACAAAAGATCAGCATGGAGTAGAGTGGTATAGAAGACCAAAGAGCAGGGAAGTCAAACTTTATTTTTCATTTTTAATGTCTGGATTTGCAAGGCTTGTCAATGACCTTCAGCTTGGTGCCTGACCTGCACTTAAGGAATGAGAGCACTACTAGGTTGTACCCAAGCTAGCTTATTCATGATTTCACACCAATAATCCTACTCCTGGGAGTGAATTACTCAATTCAAGTGTAAGTATGTGGAAGGGCTAGAGGATGGGAGGGACAGGGAGGAAGAGGGACACACACAGAGCATCCGCACACACTGAGACATGCATTCTCACTTATGTATTCCTACACCTAAGCATAAAAATTTGCTATGTGTAACAGTGGAAATAACAGCAGATCAGCTCTTATTTACGCTTACTTTTAGCCAGGCAATGCACTAAGTACTTCATATAGATAAGCTCATTAAGCTTTACTATAGCCATAATGACATAGGTGTTATTATTCCCATCCCAAAGATGGAGAGATCAAGGCCCAAAAAGGTAAAGAAACTAGCCTATGATCACATAGCTAGTAAGTGACCATGTCAGGATTCTAGTCTTTTGTAACTCACAAAGCCATTATTCCTAAATGTTGTCAGTATCTTTCATCATGTTTTCTCATCTGTAAAGTAGTTAGAATAAAATAGTGCACCTTACAGGAACTGTAAAGGTAAAATAAAGAATCATAGAAAACTACTATGAACACTTATAGAATATTGTTTGTGTTTAAGTAGGCTCCATGCCCAGTGTGGAGCCCAACACGGGGCGACCCTGAGATAAAGACCTGAGCTGAGACTGAAAGTCATATGCTTAACCCCCGAGCCACCCATGCACCCCTAGAATATTGTCAATATTAACAAAGAGACATATTTAAACAGGAGATTTAATGTAAATTTACACTAGCCCCCCCATTTAACAATACGCAATCATGGCTTAACAAAATCTCACTTTCTTTCAGCCAACCTTCTCCTAAACCTATACCTTTGAGCCAAAACCTTAGGAGGATTTGTGCATAAATCCGGGAAGCTTTGGTGATTCAGAGTAGCTTGACCTGAAAAGCTGCTCATAGACAGGCAGCTTTCCCCATTTGCTGGTGACATCTCTCAATTCTGGCCTCAAGCTCTTGATTTGCTCCTTTCTGGGGAGTGAGGATTTTCAAAGTATAGCTTATTATTCTCTTGGATCTTCTCTCCTATTCCTCTTTTTAGGGGAAAAAAGGCAATGTTTTAAGAGGGCAGGATCAAAACCATTTTATACCATGAACCCTCCATGGATATTTTCCCCCCATCACTCTTTTGTTTCATTTATAAAACCTTAGTGTGGGAGGATTACAGTTTGTGTTCTGGTAAAGTTAAAGTAATGATAATATTTCTTCATGCAATAATTCTTGACTTATTTTTTTAGGAATGTCTTTAGCATGCTTTTAGCTCATTTACAAGCTCATGTGTTAGTTAGCTTATAGCAATAGTAAACGACTCTGAGTTCTGAAATAAGAAATTCATATAATAGTTTTTAAAAACATGTTCAAGTATTATGTGGATTTTTAAAATTCTAACCAGTTTTACACTTTGGAATAATTTTGAGATGGGAACATGGGTAGATTTGCTTCAATTCAGTTTTTTTATTGAGGTTAACATTAAAACTTGTTTACATTTTTCGAATAAATACCAACTAGCTAGAGGAGTTTAGATGTGGCAGTTAAGGATCTAATTTAGGAACAATCTATAATTAAGTGCTTATAACAGAAAAACCATACGGTATATAAGCTACTTAGAGATAATTTAGAGTTGATTTTTTTCCACCCTCCCCAAAAATATCTGGCCTACTACACTTATGTGAAAATAAAAAAATAGGACTGACTCAATGCTAACACTACTCTAGAAAAATGTTCTATTTTAATTGTATTTTAATATTTACTTTTCATACAGCTCACTCAAATATATTTTCATTAAATCATTTTCTATTACAAAATATAGCACTGTTTCTTTTAGTCACTGATGTGAACTTACCTCATTTTATTCATTATTCTGGGATCTCTTTACTCTAATCAGATCTGCCTCCTAGGGTCACCTGACATCTAGCTCATCCTTTCTTCTGTGCTTTTGCTCATGGTGCTTCCTTCACTTAGGAAGATCTCCTTCATCTGTCAATTGATGTTTACCACTTCTTTCAAGATCTGGATGATGTCTGATCTTTGCTAAGAAATTTCTGCATGTTGTGACAAATTCTTTACTATGTACTAATTTGGGGGGCAGGGGAGGATGCAAAATTGAATTAAAGTATGGGAACTTTTGTTTCTGCTCTAAAATAATCCCCTGAAATATTATTTGAACTACACTCTAGTCAGTGGGTTCTGTAACATTAATAATAATAACAAAATTTACTGAGCTTATGCTACGTACCAATTACAATGCTAAGTGCTTGATATGCATCACATTTAATATGCATAAAGACCCATGACACAACTATTTCAAGGTTACACAGCTAGTAAGTTGGAAGTAAAGAAATGAACCTCTACATTTGCATTCAGAGCCTGTGCCCTCACTACACCACACTCAGGCCACTTCTTTCCTTATCCACTTTGTTCATGTCTTCATACTATCTGTGACAAGATAGTATGTTCCTTTGAGTACAGAAACCACCCACACCCTGCCCTAGTTAACACAGAACACCACAAACTGTAGTTATTCAATAAAATAAACACAAACATATATGTTTTCTAATCTGAATAATGAAGGTTTTTTTTTAACCCCATGTTTTATTTCACCATAGACTATTAAGAATCTCATAGAAAATATCCTAATTCCTTCATAACTGCTACTAACCTATGTTTTCTATGTACATGACATGCTTAGGAAGTGCTTCCTGAATTAATAAAAGCCTAAGAGAGGCAATGAACAGTCCAATTACTTTAAAAATTAAAAACATAAAGGTATCCTCACTATTGTTTGCTTCTTTTATTTATATATCTTTTCTTCTTCACGTGTGTTCACAGTTTAACATAAAAACAATACATCAAGACGGGGGCGGAGCAAGATGGCGGAGGAGTAGGAGACCTGGATTTCGTCTGGTCTCAGGAATTCAGCTGGATAGGGATCAAACCATTCTGAACACCTACGAACTCAACAGGAGATCGAAGAAAAGAATAGCAACAACTCTCTGAACAGAAAAGTGACCACCTTCTGGAAGGTAGGACGTGCGGAGAAGTGAATCCGAGGCGATATTCGGGAGGATAGACAGCGGGGGAGGGGGTCTCCGTCAGCCACTTCTGGCAAGTGCTAGAGCCGCGGAGCACAAAATCGGAACGTTTAGAAGTCGGCTCCACTGAGGGACGTCGCTCCAGTGGCTAAGTGGGGGGTGGAATCCTCACGGGACAGTGGGGTCTCAGGACCCTCGGGGTCACAGAAAGACCGGGGGTGCCTGAGTGCGGCAGAGCTCCCAGGTATTGGAGCAGAGAAGCCGGCTGCAGACACGGAGCCGAGGCGCGGGCTCTCAGCTTGGGGTTGCCATAAACTGTGATCCGCGGCCCAGTCGGGCCACTGCTCCTCCAGCAGGGACCCAACAAGCGGCAGATCCGGGGAGACTCCCCTTCCTCCCCCAGGAGGAGCAGCGCAGGAGCGCACCACAAGGATCTGCTAGGTTTGGAGATTCCACTCGGGGTCGGGTGCCAGAGATAGAAACGCTCAGTCACAGGCCGGGTGAGCACGTAGTGTGGCCGGAGACC